CCACATGCTCTCACATTTTCAACAGGCACAGAGGTGGTGATAATTAAGGTCCGTTAGGGATCACAGCTGATACCGCGGCTGGACGCTGGGACTGAGACCCAGAGGTGCACACGATAGCAACCAAAACAAGTCAAGAAGAGCAAAGGCTAGATAAGGTGCGAACAGAAGGGATAAGTGCGCACAAGCGAGCGTGGTGGTGTGTGTTGGGGAAGATGACATTGACAGATGCGCTTGTTGCCGCTGTTTTCAACACACACACGTTCAGGCACACTTACGTAAATGTCACTGACCTCTGGTGGTCTAACCTGCGGTATAAATGTGCACACACCCACAAACTGTTCGGGCTAAGCTTTGTAACTCTCTTGGGGGTGCTGAAGATGGATCAAGCTACTGTTAGGTCTGTTTCTCTTGGGTCGTGCATTGGTAGTATGGATTAATAGGCTTTTTGAAATTGCATTACGCTGATACAGGAAATCCCACACTGTGCTCGAGCTCAGCAGCACATAAATTCAGTCGCTGAAGTTTTTATCCTGCTGGGTTATTGTCAAGAGGAATTAACTACTCTGAAGAGGGCGCAGAAGAACTTCTGTCTCGGTTGTAAAGAAACATGTGCCGTGATGTTATAGTACTTTCCCACGTTGTTATTCAAGTTTTTAAAGAACCCCTCCGGTGTGAAAAAGTTTTTTTTTTTTTTTTTAAACCTTGCTAATGGTGTTATTTATATGCTAGAAGACGCATAATGAGTGAAATAAGCAATCATGGCCATGCCTGGGAGTTTTCAGGTTGAAACCTTGGTGAATTTAAAGAGCCAGCGTTTCATACATAAGAAACATATGGCGCTAATGCAGTCAGCTTGCCGGGTGGGGCTTTCCGAATCATTATTCTTCTTTAAATTGGGGTTCGGTCTCAACATATATGGCTGAATTGCTCCAATATTACAACTTGATAATGTGTAGTGTAGAATGTTTGTGCAGCGTTGGAGCAGATTCACAAGTGAGCTGGTGTGCTCAAGCTGCAGCGAGTGGGGAGGGATGTGTGGAGAGTGAGGCAGGGACACCGTAGTACTACACATTCTAGAGGAAACAATACTTTTAAGCCATTTTGAGGCATGATTGGATTATCTCTCCATTATCTATACACCGCTTAATCCTCACTAGGGTCATGGGGGGCTGGAGTCTATCCCAGCTGACTCAGGGTGAAGGCAGGTTCACCTGGACAGGTCACCAGTCAATCACAGGGCCACACTTAGAGACAGACAACCAAGCACACTCACATTCACACCTATGGACAATTTAGAATCACCAATTAACCTCAGCATGTTTTTGGAAGCCGGAGAACCCGGAGAGAACCCACGCTGCACGAGGAGAACATGGAGACTCTAAGCAGAAAGATCCCAGTGTCCTCACCGGGACGCGAACTGGCAACCTTCTTGCTGCGAGGCATCAGTGCTACCAACTGCTCCACCTTGCAGCATGATTGGATTACTTTCAGTGAAAAAAAACTAATTAAACATTAACTGATGATTTGTTACAGGTTAAATCAATAACTGGAGAGGGGCTTTGATGTGATATATGTAGCTACCAGACACTACTGTTGCATAATACTTACTGCTTTGTATTGCCACGGGATTTGTTTTTTTCTTTTACACATTAACGTGTGCTTTTTTCCCCTGAGCCATCCACAGTTTGCCATCTGTCAAACAGGAACCTCACTTCCCCTTTCATATGTGTTTTATTAATTCTATGTAAAGAATTAGAAGATAACAACTGCAAAAACAAGCCTATAATACACTCTGCAAGCTGTGTCTTTAGTGTGACGTTTTCTGTGATGCCGGACACGGTCCACAATCCAAAACTTTCATATCAGGTGAGAGGTCATACTCATAAAGCCATTCAGCGAAGCAGATGTGGAGCAGACAAAAGGTCACAAACTAGGAACAGGCAAAAACTCTAAAACACAGATGCAGATATCCACCAGCGGAGTAAACAATGGAGACTGGGACCAGGCAAGAGGCAAAAAGTAGGAAAGAAAAACAGGCAAAAATCCAGGAAAATAGGCAAAAGGTCATACACGAGGAAACACACTAGAAACAGAGCAACACAAGAAAACACCGGAAAGCTCACCTACAGGGAGCACAAAGACAATCTGGCAAATGGATGGCGGAGCCCTGGAGGTACGGATGTGAAGGGGCTAATTGAATAATTAGATAATTAGACTAACAATTAGACCGAGATACATCACGTAAAATATTTTCCAAATGAAACAGGGAGTTAAGTAAGAAGGGTTCATGACAAAAAAACAATCCCAAACCACCGTACCTTTGTGAATATAATTTGCATCCTCACAAACAAATACGCAGACAGACATCAAAAGCACTATACTGCCAAATTATATAACAACGCTGTGGAGTCACCAGGGCCCAGATGACATTTGGGGACATAAATTTTCTGCTAAACTAAACAACTTTTGAGCCAAATGTACTACGTTGGATTTATTTATTTATTTGTTTCCCCCCTCTTTTTCCCAAAAAAATGCATAAGAATAACAGATTAGGGGAGTGATATGGTCGCCAGATTTGAGTGCAATGGGCAGAGCTCCCAGCATCAAATAAAAAAAAACAAAAATCAAAAGAGATATGAATAAAATGCGAGTGCTTCATTGCAACATGATGTCTCTTTATAACTGAAACAACAAAGCGGATGAAACTGTGTGGGCACCAATGCCAGAAATGTTGCGTGTTATATTGTTACCTTAGTTCTGCAACAGTAGCTCCAATCTAGTGATAGGACACAGATTTATGTGTGTGTGTGTGTGTGTGTTGTTTCATCTTTGTAGCCTACAAGCTGATTTAAGTGGAACAATGGCAATGAGGTTCAAATTCTGGCCTTCAGTTTTAAGGGTATTTGATGGTGTTGACATCCATTTTTAGTGCGTCTAGTTTTCTGATTTTAGGACAGTGCAGCAGGACAGCGATCCTTACGTACGCTCAGGGCAGAGCAAAATGCTTCTCTCGCCAGCTCAGTCATCTGACCTCAGTTCAAATGATCATACTTGGACGGAAGCAAACATTAAATATACCTGGCCGGAGTTCAGGCCTGGCAGAGCGTCACTGGGGAGGATACCAAGTGTATGCTGATATCTGTGGGCTTTAGATGTAAGTCGGATATTATTTTTTTATTTTAACCTTTATTTATTCAGCTGAGCCGAGCTGGCTTTTTCAGCAGCGCCGCGATCACGCTCACACACAGTTGCACATGTTCGCACCTGGAAGCTGCCCAGAAAATCCACAGTTTGATCTGCTGGCCACAGAGAAGTTCCACTGGAGCAGCTGAGGGTTAAAGGCTTTGCTCGGTGATAATAATGCGGGAGGGGCAAGTGTTTCTTTCACTTTCTCCACCTGGATTTATCCTGCCGGTCTGGAGATTTAATGAAAAAGTATATGTGATATATAAAAAAAAAAAAAAAAGAAAGAAATTGGGGAATGAGATTTAGAAATTGCTGCAGTGCGGTATGAGTGTACACTCCCTCAAATATAAACTGAATGTCAACAGTATGCGCTGGGTGAGAGAGCAGGTTCAGGTCTGTCTTGGGACCAACACCTATAGAAAAGACAAATGTTCACAGCCACCGTCATGGCAATGGACAATTCAGTTTTCAAATGAATCTAAACTGCACAATCCAGCGGTTGGCACGACGGTGAGAGTATTAACTACTGAGCTGTAGATTAGCATCTGGTTTATTACTAAGACAACAGATTATTGCGTAGAAACTGATGAGGTCCGTCTATGAGGCGCATTTTGTGTGGAGTCGACAAAAGATGCAGATCAGGGTTAGTCTACGATCAGTGTGGTCACAGCAAGATAAATCGAACTTACCAGGGGTAGAGCTGATAAATATCATTGATGAATTACATTTCTAATCTTACTTTATTGTAGGATTCGTAAAATGTATTCAGTAGAAACTGTTAATAAATCTTGAGGAACACAAAAGTGGTGCATTTTGAAAAAATATGTATCAGGTGCAGCAGGATCACTGATCAAAACAAAACACTGATATATAACATATATCTGAACAGTAGAGTTATACGTGTGTAATTATTGACAAAAACTTTTCTGAATACTAAAACCCAATGGCAACGGACTATTACGTGTATGAAGTGCTGAACTTCATTCATGCAAATCTGCAAGGCTGCAAGACTTAGACAATGTTGTACGAAGCAGAATTTCAGGCCTGAATCATCTCTAAACGTGACTCACACCATCTCACATGACAACTAAACGTCAAGTTGTATAAGTTGCATGTTAGTAGCTATTAGCATCCTAGTATAGATTAAAGAGAAACTAATTAATTTTGGATTTGGCATTTTGACCATACAACTATCTCTAAAATCTAAATGCTCCTTAGCTTCCCGGCTAGCTGCAGCCACATGCATGTTTGTAATTGTCAAAAAAAAAAAGTGCAATCGCAACAATGCATTAGTAGCTCATTAAGGTGAGTTCTGTTAATGCTCTCTTTGTTTTGGTTTTATTATAATGTGTTAATTCTTATTTTTTTAAATGAATTCCTCCCTGCTCACCTTTAGCTCGTGTGCTCACCCACTGCCTGCTTTAGCGCCCGTCAAAAACACTCACGTTTAAAATTAATTCAGTGTCTTCCCATTGCAACCTCAGTAAATCTGCATAAATCTACACCTACTCTTTAAAAGTGATTAATTAACAATTAAGACCGGGAGATCAGCTCTATACCATCCTGTCATTTGCACAGTCTTTTAAGTAAATATGCACACAGAAGAGAGTGACAATGATTTTATAGAGGATGCACTTTAGTAAATAGACACAGTGTCCTTCCAGACTAATGAGTCTATTTGATAAATAACGCATAAGCAATACCTAAAACACGGCGTATGAATTTGCTTTTGTGCTCAAGGTGTGAAATATGTGACTTTATCTTAAAAGTGTTTGAATGGAAAACTAATAATAATAATGTCTTTCTGTCTCCAGCTCCATGCGGAGGACAGTATGGTGGATCTGAGGGAGTCGTTTTGTCTCCAAACTATCCTTTAAACTACACGACAAGACAGTCCTGCTCCTATTACATCACAGTGTCCCCACAGTTTGGTAAGTTCATGCACGTCGGTAACGATTGTTGAGATGAACACACTAACTTGCCTAACATATCTTTATCTGTGTGTTTTTTTTTAGTGGTGTTTGGTCAGTTTGCTGTTTTCCAGACAGCCATGAATGACTCAGTGGAGCTGTTTGATGGAGCCAATGACAACGCCCGATTGCTCAGCTCCCTGGCCGGTTCACACTCAGGTGAGCCTGTTGTCAGACACAATGCGTTTCGGTTATGCTGTCGTCAAGGAAGCAGCTGTCTGATTGTTTTTTTTTCCCCCGCTTACTAAGACTAAGATTGACGTATTTTTTTTAAAAGCTGCCATTCAGCCTTAATGCGTTTCCCCCGTTTTCCTTCTTTTTGCACTCCTGAGCACATTCTTGAAAGAGGAAAAAATACGAAATCGTCTGTAAGAAAGCAGCTCTGGGGGGCTGTAGAACACAGCACCAGTGGTCGTTATCACAATTTATCTGACAATGATGTATTTGGTGAAAATCCATTATGGGTTATCTTTACAAGAGGAAATCAGCAGTGGAAAGCGTCTCACTGGGGCCATACAATATACAGTAGCGCTGATACTCCTTAACACAATCCTCCACGGGTTTCCTTATCCCACAACTTTGAGTCATCCCGGCGACGTTTTGAGTCACTGCACAGCAGAGCGCTCGGTGAGGATGGAGATTGAAAAATGTGGCAAAAATTGACGCAGGTGGCACGGCAAGAAGAACGAAACGTGTAGAAATATTGATTAACGCAGTCGCTGGCGAACTGTGATGCCGTTGCCTCAGAGTTTCACTTTAGTGCGAGTTTCGTGTATCATGGCCAGGGGGCATGCTGCGGGGAAATCCCCCTGGAATTGACATTTAGTTTCTTTCTGTAGAAATCAGGGCTTTTTAAATATTTCCTCTGTTATGTTGGTTCCGTTTTATGCTTGTAGATTTTACCAGGGAGGAAAAAAATGTTTAATAAAGGATAAGACTACATCTGCCGGTAACACTGTCAGGTGTAGTCAGCGCTGGAACACTGGATGATATTAACATCAATCAAATTGAGAAAACACAAACATATGCAGATAGATATGGGAGTTCCCCTGAGAATGTGTATTTATTTTTAACACTACAGCCTGTGCTTTTATGCGCCTTCTTTTTTTTTTTTTTTTTCTTTTAGTGAGTGTGAGTGAGCTTGTTTCAACACACGACATGACAGTTCTTGTCGGCTAGATGTAGCTGCACATTAGGCAATTTTTTTTTCTTCCCAACTACTTTAGTTCATGGGAAAGAGGCCAGTTTATATAATGTAGAATGGGTGGCTTATTCCTTAAAGTTCATTTGGGTTTGAATTCCCCCCTTTGGGCTTAAAAAGACTGAAAACACACCAGGCTTTACAAAATAATGTTATCCGCATCATTACCCTATCACACACGCACACGCACACACACACTCTCTCACACACACACACACACACACACACGCGCACACACACACACACATACAGCAGCAACAGCAGCAGCAGCAGCAAACAGCTTTGTAACACGTTGTTCCACCTAACTAATTGATTATCCAGACACACAAACATATTAGCACACATGCACCAAACTTACACATACACACACACACACACACACACACACACACACACACACATCCCAGCGCAGCTAATGATGGTTCTAAATGTCAGCCACACCAGGCCATGTTTTTCTCATTTATCATTGTTACTTCGTTTGCCTGTGTATATGTGTGCACATAAATCTCTGTTTCTATGTGCCAGTGAGTTGCTGTGTATGTGTGTGTGTGTGTGTGTGTGTGTGTTTTTTTTATTGCATTTTCATTCTCGTGAGGCCCACATTTCACCACAAGGGGAACATGAAGGAAAAACTCAACTAAATGCTAAATTATGAATTTAAACCACACGACAGCTCTGTGGACACTCACCATACAGTTAAACGTATGTTTGCTTGTGTACATGTGTGTTCATATGAAACTGTGGGTTGTTGTTGCTGCTGTGGTCTTCTCAGGCCTCAGGTTCCTGCAGTTTTGTGTGGAAAAAAAAAAAAAAGAGAGAGAGTCAATTGCTGTGTGATTTCGGGAGAGAAGGTTAAGTTGTTTTTTAGCATTAGCATTTATTTCAAAATGATTATATCTGTGTGTGCATGTGTGTTTGTGTGTAATTGTTTGTCCCAGGAGAGACATTGCCACTGGCAACTTCCAATCAGATCATGCTCCGGTTCAATGCTAAGAGTGGTCAGTCGGCTAGAGGCTTTCACTTCGTCTACCAAGGTAACTCGTTGTTTTTGACTCTCTATCGTTCTCTTTTCTCACATCCTCACACTTCCGCACAACAGGCTATATTCGATGCAACTTTAAGATCGAAGTCTGTCTCCTGACCTGGTTCTGTTTTTCTTTCCTTCTTCTTCTTGTGTTACTTAATTTCTGCTATGATTGCAGCTGTGCCTCGGACCAGCGACAGTCAGTGCAGTTCAGTGCCGGAGCCTCGGTATGGCAGGCGGATCGGTTCAGAGTTCTCAGCGGGCTCTGTGGTTCGGTTTGAGTGCAGTCCAGGCTATCTGCTGAAGGGATCCAGTGCAATTCGGTGCCAGTCTGTACCAGGTGCTCTGGCACAGTGGAACGCAACAACACCAACCTGTATAGGTAAGGCCAGTGACCCTGAAATGCATAAAGACCCGGCTAACTTGTGCAGCTCCACGGTAAAGAGAATTAATTTGTAATTGGAATAGCAGATACCATCAGTTCTTCTCCACTGTGGTGATCACTCTTCTGCACAACCGCAATAAGAACAAATACTTTAAAAAGTCCACCAAGACTTTTTTTGAGAAATAAACTGCAAAATCACAAATTGTAACACATAATACACTGCCATTGTTATTTTCATGCAGAGATATTTGCACATATAAGGACCCCAAACATCACAGAGTCTAACCTAATGTTCAGACAAGCTGGGGAAAAATTATTATATTTTAAAATGTATATTTTAAGCCCAAGTCTTGTCTTCCAGATAGAATTATGTCGTATATCTAAATGCCACATGACAACAACAAACGACCAAAGGGCTTGTCGAGATAAGACATTCCCCCCCAGCATGACGATGGACGTTACCGAGCCAGTCATCTCGAGAGCAGGCTGGGAGCTGCCAAGATGACTGGGCGATCACCCAGCACACAGGTCTTCAGAGCTTTAAAATGTTTCTTTTAGAGATCTGAGAACCTGCACGCTGGGTGCAGATTTGAATAGGTATTCATTACATATCTGGATAACTGGGAATCTAAATGGTTCCTTTCTTGCTTGAAAAAAAAATATCATAAATTAATAAAGTGATAAAATAAAAACAGCCCTGAGATGAAAACAACAGCATCACCGCTCCTTGACATGAAATGCATTCTGGGATATTTATGATAATAACCTATACTTATACTTGGCTAATGATATTTCAGGTTTGCAGGAGTACAGATGAGAAAGCAGATGGAAAAAAAAAAAGGCCTTAAATAATGAGTCTTTTCTGTGAGCCACCCTGTACTATTTAATGAGAGTGATTGAGAGTAGGGATTTGACATTAATTCAACAAACTAAATGTATGCCTGTGTGAAATCTCTCTCTGCTGAGAGCTAGCATTTTGCAAACAGCTTCAACTGTCACCTCAGTTTATACCATAAATAATGTTTGTTAACATGTTTCCTCTCCGCGGCTCCCTGTAGTGGTAATTTGAATACCATATTGTTTGTCTCCGGGCATGCCCAGCCTTAATCCAACATCCTGTCCTATCTGTTAGCTATTTAGTTAATAAATCTTGCCAAGAAATCTATATTTTATGTCTTCATCCTAGTTCCCTGCAGTGGCAATTTGACTGAACGTCGTGGCACAATACTGTCTCCTGGCTATCCTGAACCCTACCCAAACAGCCTCAACTGTCTGTGGAGGATCCATGTCAGCGAAGGGGCTGGGATACAGGTACAGATACACGCTTTTATTAAAAAATAAACGGCGCATTGTGTATGCGCTGCTTATGAAGGATGCACATGTTGTCGGAAGCTGTCGTGTTCGTTTATTTTTATTGTTTGCTGTTTAGATCCAAGTGATGACGTTTGCTACGGAGCACAACTGGGACTCTCTGGAGATCTACGATGGAGGAGACATGACAGCTCCTAAATTAGGGTCATTTTCTGGTATGACAATATGCTCACACATTTCCCGAATTGCATAAACTTGTACGCATACACCCAGGCACACAAACACTCTGAAGCCCCGTGATGGATGAGATATGACGGCTCCTAAGCTATAGATACACACAAGAACGCACACATGTAGGTTGACGGACATATGCAGACACACGAACAGGCGCGAGATCTATGATGAATTAGATACGACAGATCCTAAACTATAGATACACACACATACGGCATACACTGGAGAGCGATGATGGATGAGTTGTAATACCAAAAAATATGATATATATCTTAAATAAAGAATAAACGTTTTTAAGACATAGAATTCTTCCAATGCCGAGCAGTCGCTGAGAAGAGTTTCACCACGAGATGGAGGGTGAGGTGGGGTGGGGGGTGGGAGGAAAAAGGAAGAGGGAGAGCACGAAGACAGGCAGGGATAAAGAATGATCTAACCTTTTACAATTTCCCTGCGGAGTTTCCCCTGTGACCTGCCCCAAGCACATACCTGTCACACAGCTATCACACATAAAACATGCCGCCCACAGGGCAACGCACATCCACCCACACACACACACACACACACACGCACACACACAAATGACTGTGCCCTTCTAAAGAACGCACACCAGGGAGCTGCCCACTGTAACCGCAGAGATCTGGTGTTGACCACTGAGCAGCTTCACTGGGGCAGATACGGGCTGCTTCACATAAGGACACTAAAATGCTAGCTGTCCACGGAGGGTGAAAGGTCATTCACCTTCTCCTCGCATAATTTCCCAGCTGCTGTGAAATTTTTTTTGCAGCATCATATGTGTTTAAATATTCCTCTTGTATGTACAGTGTTGTGTAAACTTTAATGCTTTTGTCGTGTCACTGAGTTTGTATTTTGGTCGATGTGAGCCTCCAAAATGCTATTATTATTATTACAACCACTATGAATGTTTAATGTTAACCAGTTTGCAAACCTGACAAGAAAAAGCCATTGACTGCCTCTGTCATGTCTTTATTTATCATCTTTTACAGGAACAACAGCTCCGGCTCTCCTCAACTCCACATCCAATCAGCTCCTCCTGCACTTTCAGAGCGACATTAGTGTGGTTGCAGCAGGCTTTCACCTAGAATACAAGAGTAAGTAAAGGCTTAAAAGATAGACATGCAGATTTACAAAAAGGAATCCTTGCTGATGTGAAACAACCGAGGAGTTATTATAAGGTCCCTTCTTACCAGAAAACTCCCAAATGCACGCACACGCACCATTGCAGCCAAAACTTCGACATCAAATAACAAAAGTCAGTGACCTGAACTGGTACCGCCTGAGAGCAAAACACACACAGCGAGACCCACATGGGAGCGCACACGCATAACACACACCTAGAGGGACGTAAACAGAATCACGCAGACACGGACGCATACGCAGAGCGCCTTTTTGCCTGTGTCATACGTGCACACGGGTCCAAAACGAAGGCGAATATGTACACAGACAAAGGTATAGGCAGAGATATTAGCATCACGCATTCACACACCTGTCAGGGCATGGTTGTGCTTTTCAGTCCTTTGTAGTTGTTTTAGCTTAGAATCACTTCTAGATCAGTGAGCATGTCCCCGTTTGTGAGTTTGTGTTGAGAGTTAGTTTTGGTGTGTGTGTACGTGCATTACCCAGCGTGTAGGTTTGTATATGTGTGTGTAGGTGAGTGAACACATTTGTGGCGAGATGGACTTTTTTTTTTTTTTCTTTTAGCTTTGTGTGTGTCCCGTCACTAGCAATGAAATCCAGAAAGACTGGTCACTTTTATGAACAGTATATTGTGTCTGTGTCTATATTTTTGCTCCACTGTATTTGTGAATGTAGTTACTCTGAGCTTTTATTAGCGAATGCACACAGAGAGTGTAAGTTGTAAAGCGCTACTGGCAGGGGGACAAGAAAAAAAAGCACAAAGATCCTTTATATTGTCTGTATTATTATAAACATCTGTCTGTATTTCTCTATTTAAGTGCAGTGTTTCTTGTTGTACAGCAAAATCATCATAGTACATGCTGTTTTATATTGAAAGAAAGAAAGAATGTTTTTTTTTTTTCTCTCCACAAGATCACCTTGAAAAAAAAATATTCTACATTACTTCACCCTAGGAGCTCTTGCGGGTCTCAGACGATAGTTTTGCTTATCTCAAAATGAGTGCCAACACTTTAATCTGTAGCAGAATTTGTTCCAAGTGTACACTCGAGGTTCGGTACAGGAGGCCTCGCCACAAAGTGGGCTTTCAACTTTTTTCATTAAACACAAAGTTTTGCAGAGATCATTCAACTTACCCATTCAAAAGGTGACAAGAGCAGGCACACGAAAATTACTATTTGCCCTCAGATGATTCTTCATTCTGATCCTCCTCGCAAACACTCTATTATCTGTTGTGCGCTGATCTTTCACCGCGCTGTCTTGTTTTCCGCTGCGTTTCCTGCTACAGACAGGGAAAAACAAACCCTCGTAGCTAAGAATAGCATGTCATCTTTGTTTTTAGATGTTTTTTTTTTGTTTGTTTTTTTTTCCGGCTAATGTGGAAGCCAGCTAATGTGGTAATGTGTGTGAGTAGACCATGTGAATGATTGTGGTGATGATGCTCTTATCATTTCAGGCTGACTAAAGGGCCTTTCTTCTAAAAGGCAGAGTGAGACATCTCTCTCCCGTGTCTGTCCTCACATAAACTGAAACAGAAGTATAGTAAATCCAGTCAGTTAGACTTAAATGCTGACACTGTCTCGTTGTAGTCTAGTGGCCCTAGTGGGGTGGTTTGTGGTACTGTCAGCATTTTACTGAGCATTACTGCGCCCTCATAGCCGAGGAAGAGAGGAAGCAGTGTGCTAGCACACAGAGAGAGAGAAGGATGGTCAGCCAAATGGAATAGTTTCATTGATCAGTTGTCATGACAGCCTGCTGATGCTCTGCCTAATAATACACTCCTCCTGTGTGTGTGTGTGTGTGTGTGTGTGTGTGTGTGTGTGTGTGTGTGTG